ATCATAGTAGTAGCAACTCTTTGATTGGGACCAACTATTTGGTGCCCGCTATACTTACATGAATTTCTACTCTATAAGCCAACATAAATCAAAATTCTGCTTAGTTCTTTCGTGATCAAAGGTAGTCCTCGACCTCCACTATGAATAAGCCGTCGTACCCCGCCCAAATCTGCTAAGTGGGTTAAGATTCCTTTAGCGCACGCGTTCAACGAGTGAAATAGGATCACGTCAGATTGGATTCAATTCAGCAGTGCTGCATAAACTACTGAGATAATCTGTCGTGTTTGGGAAGGTAACCAAAATCTTCTTTTTAGCTGGCAGCTATCTGGTCGCCTACGCTCGGGGAGCAGCTCCTTCAGATGAGGCGCAGTTTGCTTCGTGTTCCATTGGATGTTCGGCCAGTGACATCACTGTGCGAGCTAAGTAAGCCGGTACCGTTGTGATAAACTGAAAAAAAGATTTAATAATTAGAAAAAACGTCCCGTATTTAGGCATTGGACTTCCGAAAATGTTCTACTGCAAGTGTGCCTTCGAGAGTCTTTCCCGAATGCCGGTGTGGTGCATAATCCTCTTCTCAATTGTCAGGAGTTCCCAGCATCTGATGGATTGACCGCGACTGAGCTTGTATTACCCAAGACCTCTTTAGTTGACGTAAGCAGTGCATAATCTAAAAACAAGAATGCTTCTCGCATATACGAGATATTTGCCTTTAGATTGTATTTGTCGCTTCTAACTTCATCGGCGAAAGTGGAGACGTTGCCATTTTGAGTGACATTGAAGTTTCCTACGATAGAAACGGCCCCGAATGTGAAGAACCAGTAAGAGCAGATAATGAAATCCGACTAAACAGATCCTGACTTAATTTGTCAAATCTAGAACGATGAACAGCTACAGAGCGCTGTTTCGCAACCGAAATCACAACCTCACCCTCAGCCTCAAGTTCCCCGGCCAACAGAAACTCATCGTCAAGAATTCCGCAGTCAACATGCTGAGTCACGCAAGTCAGCAATGCACGGTGAGAAGACTCTTGCAGGTGAAGGCAGTGAGGATAGCGTCCAAGAGGTATGTATTTTTAAAAAAAAAAGCAATTTTACATCCGGCTTAGCACTCCTTTTCAGGGAGGCCCCGAGGAACAGGCGAAAATGGCACAGGAGAT